CCCCCCCCCCCCCCGCCCCCGCTCCAACCCTCGGCGGCGTGTTGCATTGTTCTCAGCGCTGGTCGTTAATTCAACGCTGTGTCGACATATTACAGTCATTATAAACTCAATTATTTTGTATATAACAATGATTGCTATTATTACTCTGCAATACAATTCCTGTGATGACATCGGCTGTCAACAAGTCATGTACACGGTTTATCGCTTTTTTACATAAATTATAAGCAGATTAATTGAAAACTAATATTTCTATATGAGTAAGCTGTAGCCTTATGCTAGAGATATGGTTCACGACAGTACTCATATGGGGAAAATGGAACACATGAGTGTGTTGTCGATGTGTTGACAGTCCGCTTGTGTTGACAGCTTGGGAACGATTTGTTAGATAAGACGTCAAAGATCCTCACCTCTCGATATCTCCGTGGATTCCTAGCTCGTTAAGTTTACTAAGAATGGTGGATTATTTACACGATCAAATGAAATTCTACAATTCGAGTCTGCAGCAACATCAACTAGACTAATGTTCTCCATAACAAATTGTCTAATCGAGTGCGTATTGATAAGTATGAATATATAGAAAGTGTTAAATAAATACGTATTATTTTAACAGTATGACAATATTCTGTTTGCAGCTTTCGTCGCGGCAGCGCCGGAGAAGCGATTCTAGGACAAAACTGCCGTAGAAACGAGCGCAGGCAAAGAGCTGACCTGCCACTCCTGAGGAATGCTGAACAGGTGGTTATTTCATACTTGAATACGTATTTCGTACTTGTGATAAACATTCTGAAAATGTTCTTTTTTTGGTTTCCAGATTCCCGAGGTATCTAGGAGCTTGTATACAAAGATGATGACCCGCTTGTGACGTGACTTACTGCCCCCCCCTCCTCTCCCTCGCAGGCTGCAGATGATCCTGAACATCAGGAACTCTATTACGACTCTGGGAACTGACGGTACATGGGTGATTTCGTTCTAACTGTGACTTTTTTGATTAAAATTTTATGACTGAAATTAAACTTTTTAAATTTTTTTACGCATATCATTCGTCTATTTTACTGTAAAAATAAAAATCTGAGAGGATTTTATTACAACTTTAAAGCATCACGAACGAGGCACAAATTTCAGACTTTGAATTCGACGGTACTGACATGAATTAACTTTGATAGAAGTTGTCAAAAAAATAATTAAATTTATTTATAAATTCTGTTATAACATTTTTAAACTCTTGATCATAAAAAATTAACAAAATATCGGTAAATTCTAGAAATGGACATGACACGGTACTGACATTTAAGTGATAAATTGTAAGTTTCCTCAAAGTGGCAAGTTATATTATATTATACAAAAATAATAATGAAATATGTTTATAATTATCCAATTAACACAAAAATCTACAAATGACAAGTGTTCGCGCCTGAGGTGCGGGCAACACCACTACCGGTGCGAACCGACGTGCGGTGGCACGAAACGTCACTTGGACTTCCGCTTTCGACCGCCGATGCATACGCGCAACGATCAATTTGTCTTTTTGCAACTCTGTATTTACCGCTTATTAAACCATTACAACCAAATACTTGTGTTTGGCCCAAACAAATGGTCCATCGAGCCTCAAGAATCAACAAAAATACAGTCCGCTAATTTAATACGTTTGGAGCGAACGGAGTGCAGCAAATTATCGCGACATCGGCTCAACGGTCGTCGGAATCAAACATCGAAAATCAAGACAAAGGAAGTACTGTGTGGACAAGGGAAGATAAAGTGAGTTCGTTCCATATTTTCCCTTCTAAATCCTCTTCAATTGGCTTCCTATTGTATTAATATAATTGTTCAATTTCACGCTTACGCATTTACGAGCGACTAATTACCAAATAGTGAAGTACCCACATTATATTTTTTTTCTTCGTCGTATTTCTTTCGATAATTTTTTCCTTTTAATTTAATAATGGCCCAACTAGATGTTTTAATTCGAAAACGTAGTGGCATGAAAGCCAAGCTTACAAATTTTTCTAATTATATTAGCTCAATTAGCGCTTCTGGCATAATTTCCGAACTTCAACATGAATTGCAATGTCGACTAAATAAATACGAGGCCTTATACGATCAATTCGATGAATTACAGGTGGAGATTGAGGTGTGTTCCGACAAGCCAGAGGACGAATATGAGGAACGTTCAAAATTCGAAGAGCGTTATTACGCGCTGATGGCGCAAGCGCGCAGTCTGTTGTGCCGTGAAGGTGCAACGGATGATGGCCGCTTTGTTGCAGGCTCGATATGCAAACAAGCAGGTGACTCATTCCAACGCAATTTTATTCGCTTACCCAAAATTGATTTACCTCGCTTTCATGGTAGTTATCAGTGCTGGCTTGAGTATAGGGACACATTTTTATCATTAATTCATAGTAGTGCTTCTATCGATAATATAAGCAAGTTCCACTATCTGCGCGCCTCGCTCTCAGATGCGGCGCTCGACATTATTTCAAATATAGATTTTAAAGGCGACAATTATTTAATGGCGTGGCAGTTGCTATGTGATCGATATGACAATAGTCGTCAATTAGTGCATAATCACGTACAGGCATTGTTCAATGTTGAACAGGTTTTTAAAGAATCGAGTCTTTGTTTACGTCGTTTGCTTGATACAATTAACAAAAATATTCGAGCCTTAAAAACATTGAACGAGCCGACGCAACATTGGGATACGTTTGTAGTTTACATTATGTCAAACAAATTAGACGACGTAACCGGCAGACATTGGGAAGAATATCGTAATGTCTTATCGAAACCACCATCTTTGCAACAATTTTGCGAATTTATTAGTAACAAAGCTGATTTATTGGAAACTATAGAAAATAAACAAAGTACAAATGTAAATAAAACAATTTCGAAAAATAACAGTTATGTAGTCGCATCAAACATAAATAATAGTCGTTCCTTTGCACAGTCAAAAAATAACAACATGAAATCTTATAATTTGTCATGTCCTTTATGTTCAAAAAATCATCTTTTATTTACATGCGAACATTTTCGTAGTTTAACCGTTGAAGGACGATTAAAAAAGGCAAAGGAATTAAAAATATGTTTTAATTGTTTACGTCCCGGGCACGGTACTAAGCGATGTCGATTAACGCATTGTAAGTATTGCAATAGTAAACATAATACTCTTTTGCACACCGAAGAGTCTAAGCCTACTTCATTTCAAGACCCGATGCCTAGTAGTTCTAGTGTCGCATTGCCTATTCACCAATCTTCATCATCCATTGCTTGCGCTAATCAAAATAATATTGCTTTGTCGAGTAATACTTCCATACAACCTACTACTTCTTCGCATGTTTTACTGTCCACAGCTATGGTGAAAGTGATTGACGACAACGGCAACAGCATAGACGCACGGCTTCTACTCGATAACGGCAGTACAGCTAACTTTATAACGCAGTCGCTTTGCAGTAAGCTAAAATTACCTACACGTTCCGTAAGTTCTGAAATTAATGGCATTAATAATCAATCGTTAACTAGTACCCAAGTTTGCAACCTAACAATCCAGTCCCAGTGTTGTAGGTATAGAACGAATATAGATTGTTATATATTACCGGAGATAACTAAAATACTTCCTTCTACTTTAATAGACGTCAGTCAACTTTCGATGCCCGCAGATCTACATCTAGCTGACCCTACGTTTAACATACCGTCAGTAGTCGATATTCTCGTCGGGGCTGAAGTTTTCTGGGATGTAATATACAATAAATCAATTAACCTAGGGAAACACAAGCCTAAGTTAGTCAAATCAAAATTAGGTTGGATTGTTACAGGCCAACTACCGATACAGTCAACATCAAATTTTACGCATTCTTGTAACTTGTCTATAAGAGATCTGGACAACAATTTGAAAAGGTTTTGGGAACTCGATTCCGTAGCTTCGAGTCACGCCTTGTCCAGCGAAGAACGAGCTTGTGAGGAAAGCTTTAAGCTAAATACAATTCGTAACGAAGACGGTCGATTTATTGTAACGATACCATTAAAAAATAATGCAAATGTCTTAGGTGAGTCATATGAGATGGCGAAACGTCGTTTTTTATCAATCGAACGTCGATTTCAACGTAATCCTGGATTCAAGGAGCGCTATATAGCCTTCATGCAGGAGTACGAACGTTTGGGTCATATGACTGAAAACATCACGCGTAATTTTTCTAAATCAGAATCTAATGTCGAATATTTTTTGCCACATCATGGAGTAATTAATGATTCTAGCACAACAACAAAGTTTCGTGTAGTTTTTGATGCATCTGCACCAACCTCGTCTGGGCTATCATTCAACGACATCCAAATGGTAGGACCCACTATACAAGACGATCTTCTTTCGATTTTGTTACGTTTTCGACAGCACAAGTATGTCATATCCGCGGACATTGAAAAAATGTATAGAGCTATTAATGTGACACCTAAACAACGCTGTCTACAACAAATAATATTTAGGGAGGACCCTAAGTTACCGCTGAAAACATATAAACTTAACACGGTAACCTACGGCACAGCATCAGCTCCTTATTTAGCCACAAAATGTTTAACTAGTTTAGCCTCAAACGCGTCGAATGAAAATATTAAACGGTCAATTTTACAAGACTTCTATGTAGACGATTACCTTAGTGGCGGCGACACCATACTACAGGTGGTGCATCTAAGTACGGAAGTAAGATCTATTTTGTCTTCGGCGCAATTTCATCTTCGTAAATGGAAATCCAATAGCCCGGAGATATTATCCCAGGTCTTAGGTGTTTCAAGTTGTGAAAACAGTTTGAATTTCGCAGAAAATAAGGATACGCCACATAAAACGTTAGGCTTATTTTGGTTGTGTAATTCGGATCATCTTTCTTTCTCTGTTAACATAGACTTAAACAAACAGGTAACGAAACGTATTATGTTGTCTGTAATTAGTCAGATTTTCGACCCTTTAGGTCTTGTAGGTCCTTGTGTTGTTGAAGGCAAAATCTTATTACAAGGTCTTTGGTTGACAAAGTCTGCTTGGGATGAAGAAGTACCAAATAAAATAAAATTACTGTGGACATCCTTCTCAACCTCGCTATCACATCTTAATAATTTAAAGATCCCTCGTTGGGTCTTGTCTAATAACGCATGTTCATATGAACTTCATATTTTTACAGATGCTTCGGAACAGGCGTACGGGTCTTGTGTTTACGTGCGTT